GGCCAACTAGCTCAGAAGCAACAAAGCCCACATGGAAGAAACACACCAGCCTGTGTGACCACAAGCTGTCGAAGGGATCAGGCATCAAGCATCAAAGAACAAAAAATCATATCATTGTAAAGGTGGGTGAGTGCAGAGTGGAGATTCAGAGTCCATCGGTAGGCGACTGAACACCCCCTTACTGAAGGGTTGTGGGGAGGAGTGGAGCCAATCAGGGTGCAGGGTAGCAACGATGAAACATATAACTTTCCTCTAGTTCTTAAATGCTTCCCCCCGACCCGCCCCACTATCTTGATCCCAATTCTACCTTACAAATCTGGCTAGACCAGAGGATGTACACTGGTACAGATAGCAACTGGAAACAGGGAATCCAGGATAGATGACTCCTTCAGTACCACTGGTGAGAGGGGCGATGCCTGGAGCGTGAAGGGAATGTGGAGTAGAAAGGGGGAACCGATTACAAGAAGCTAAGTATTGCCTCCTCCCTGGAGGATGAACAGAAGAGAAGAGGGCAGAGGGAGACATTGGACAGTGTAACTTATGACAAAACTATAATAATTTATGAATTATGAAGGGTTCATGAGGGAGGGGGGAGTGGGAAGGGAGTGGGAAAATGAGCAACTGATATTAAGGGCTAAAGTAGAAGGCAAATGTTTTGAGAATGATGAGGGCAACAAATGTACATATGTGCTTGATACAATGGATGCATGTATAGATTGTGATAAGAATTGTATGAGCCCCCAATAAAATAATTAAAAAAAAAAAGTTTGTGACATAAAAAGCCTGATTTGTGGTAGATGGGGTCCTGGTTTTGCCACCACAGCAATGCACCTGCTCACGCAGCCAACTCAGTGCGCCAGTTTTTGGCAAAAGAGAGCACACCTCTCTTGCCCCACACACCTTACTCATTTGACCTCACTGACCATGAAAGGACAGCGATTTGATGATGTAGAAGAGGTGAAGAAAAAAACGATGGAGGTACTATCAGCCATCAAACCGATGGGCTTGAAAACTGTTTCCAAGAATAGAATCACAGATTTGACAACTGTTTTATGGGTAATGGAGTGTACCTTGAAGGTGATAAGGTTGTTTTGTTAAAAAAAAAAATCCATAGCTTAAAAAAAATTCTTTTTTTGAGTGGGTACCCCTTGTAATCAGTGATGTTGACTGGGATATTCCAAACCTTGATGGTGTTATTGTCGTTAGATATCATTGGGCTGGTCCCAAATCATAGGGGCCCCATGCACAACAGAAGCAAACACTTCCCAGTGCCGTGCCATCCTTGCTTGAGTCCGTTGTTGCAGCCTCTGTGTCAAGCCATCTCATTGACGGTCTTCTTCTGTCTCACTGCTCCCCGACTACTGGATCAACATGATGTTCTTCGCCAGGGACTAGTCTCTCCTGACAACATTTTCAAAGCACATGAGATGAGGTCTTGCCATCCTTGCCTCTAAGGAGCATTCTTGCTGTACTTCACTTCTTCCAAGATAGATTGGTTTGTTCTTTTGCTAATAAGCCTTGACAGATAACCAGAAATCATTATGATTGAATTGCCTCTTTTCTCAAGAGATTATTGATCTGGCATTCTTACTGAGAGTCCTGCAAATGGGTCACCAAAGCAAGTTTCTACGTAAGATAACACAAATGTGGAAAGGAGAAGAAGGTCAAATTCAGCTCTCCCAATAAGCAAATAGAAAGGCTGTCAGCAGTTTCGTGAATGGAGATATTTGGTTGAGATCATAGGATTTTTTTCTACAAATGCAGTTTTCTTTTTTTTAGAAATATGAAGGAGTTTATTCTTAGCTTATTTTTTTATAATACAGGTAATAGCATTTTTTTTCTGCCAACATATAATTTTTTTTAACATTTTATTAGGGGCTTATACAACTGTCATCCCAATCCATACACACATCAATTGTGTAAAGCGCATTTGTACATCATTTCTCAAAACATTTTCTCTCCACTCAAACCCCCGACATTAGGTCCTCATTTTTCCCCTCCCTCCCCGCTCCCCCCTCCCTCATGAGCCCTTGATAGTTTATAAATGGGTATTTTGTCATATCTTGCCCTGTCCGACGTCTCCCTTCACCCACCTTTCGGTTGTCTGTCCCCCAGGGAGGAGGTCGCACACAGTTCCTTGTAATCGGTTCCCTCTTTCCTACCCATTCTCCCTTTACCCTCCCTATTTTGCCACTCACACCACTGGTCCTATAGGGCTCATCCGCCCTGGATTCCCTGTACAAATGCAGTTTTCTAAGAGCGTGTTTTCCCTGAAACAAATTCAGCCAGCATGTACTATATGCCTCAGTGCTTTCAATATCATGGGAAACGTGCAGACTCCATTCTAAGCTCCAAGGGCATCGTGGTGAGGCAGCATTTAGGAAGAAAGGTTCTTGTTTAACAAGGCAGCAAGACTTAGAGGTCTCCATCATCCCTCATTGAAATACCTTGGTTAGGAGCTCCTCTATTTCCTTGCACTTTGAATCCACACCAAAATCTACAATATGCCCTTAATGTGTTCCAAGAATCATATTATAGCTCAGGTAAGACAGCATGATTTATAGGCACCGTTTTGTTGAGTATTTGTGTTGAGAGTTTATACTCTGAGTGCATTAGAAACCTTATATATTAGCAATAAAGGGTTGAGAACTCTTCTCTATAAAATGGGAACAAGTGACCAAGCTTTCCTTTTTAATTTTTTTCTCTGGACTGAACCTATTAGAAATAGAAATTCAGTTCACCAGAGGGAGCATATGACATTGACCTTGGCAGCTCTGAGCTGTAAATCTGTAAATGCCCAATAGGTTCTGCAGTGGCTTGGGCCTCAGGGTGACAGCTGGAGTGCTCAGCTTTACAATATATCACACCTGATGGGGATGAAATGGGAAGAGACAGGACTGGAGTAGTCCACACCCAACTGCCATGGGCAAGCTGCGTGCTAAGCTTCCAAGGAATTCCAAGAAAAACCAGGACGAATCTTGCTGGGCAAAACCAAAAATCTTAAGGCTCTTTGAGTGAAAGTGCCTTAAAGCATTTCAGTATGACTCCCTGTTCTTGGGATCTCACAGAAGGAATCTTTAGCTTGAGAAAAGGCTGAGACCCCTGAAACACCCCTTATCAATCACACGGAGCCTTCCATGAATGCAGTTAGGAATTACTGGTAAGACAGAAACTCTTCTAATTTGGTTTGCAACTAGATTTGCCACTATCCTCCTGAATTTGTATCCATGTGTATATGTCAAGTGAGAAGGAACCAGATGACAATTGTTCTACTTAAATTATGATGCCAAAGGAATGGATCTGTATTGCTTAGGGAAAATAAGGTACAAAGCATTCTACTGTTGTACCATTTCTGGAGAAGTTCAGACTGAAGTTTCCCTGTAACCCACTTTGACATAACAGGATTGAAGGTGAATGCATGACATGTCCCTCGCATAGGTCAGCTTTGCCCCCCAAATCAGAAGCCAAAAAGAAAGCCTCAGATCTTCTTGGAGTTCTTGACACCTGAATTCTCAAGTACAAATTCCCACACTGGCACACGGAAAGTGGGATTTGGCCGTGATCCTGTGACATGGGCATGAGCAAATGAAGCGATGTCTTACTGTAGATAAATAGTAAAGAAATGTCAAAATGATTTTGGTTCCTTATCATCAGTTTCTTCTATCCCAGATGATCAGCTGAACTCAGAGGAGAAGAAGAAGAGAAAGCAGAGGAGGAACAGGACCACCTTCAACAGCAGCCAGCTTCAGGCTTTGGAGCGTGTCTTCGAGAGGACACACTATCCTGATGCTTTTGTGCGAGAAGACCTGGCCCGCAGGGTGAACCTCACTGAGGCCAGAGTGCAGGTAACTCATGCTGCGTGGGTGCTGGCAGCGCATCTTCCTCTTCAGAGGCACATCCTTGAAAACTGCCTAGAAACCCAATTTGGGGTTTCAGTAGAGGCTGGGTACTCAAAGGGCTAAATTTGGACATCACGAGGACAGAATCCAATGGCTTTGAGCAGTCTCGTATTTAAAACAAAAATGGAGTGCTTCTAAGCAGGATGGAGTTCTCTTGCTAGAGTTCTTCGCACTCCCCATTGTTTTCTACTCCTCCAGGTTAATGGTACCAGGGATCTCGCTGAGCTCTTGACTTTGCAGCCTCAGTTTTTAATTTGAGCCAAAGAACATAACTCTCTGTCCCCCACCCCAGTATTTCCTCCAGTCTCTGTGACTGGGCAGGCCTTCCCGACACTTATTACACATGGTGATGGACACTGGGAGAGAGAGACACAAGTGCATTAAAGACCCTGCACTTAGAAAACGCATTAAGAACAAATACCTGGCGATGATTTCCTTTATCCTTACAATGTCTCTGTAAAGTGAAGAAGGATAAGAGCAGGTCAAATGGCGTGGAGAGAATTTTTTTTTTTTTTAACACTGAGGCTATGGACACATCAGGTGTAAGTCAAGCATTTAGACAACAGTATTGCTGTTAGTCGCCATTGAGTGGGCTCTGGGTCCATGCCTGACAGCATATTCCTGGTCCTTGGCATGCTGGAGGTCACTGTTGTGCCTATGGGTAGTGCCTTCGACCGGGGGACTTCCCTTTCATTACTGTATTGGACAACACTGGGTTGTGTTCCCTGAGATTTCCACTGGCTCATTTTTGGAACTAGATCACCAGACCTTTCTGACTAGTCTTCTCAGAACCCTGTCCACTCTGAGTGACATTGCTGGGATGGGAAAATCTGGAGGCTTAACTTCCAGCATCACAGTAATAAATACACTAACCACCAGAGTACAACAAGCAGCCGAGTGCTGGTGGGAAATAATACTATCTGTATATAGTAAAAATAATAGTGATATTAATGTAACATAATAATAAGTAAGGCTCAAACCCTTATTTAATAATTTGTGTTGTAAGTTCTTTACATAACTAGTCTCTTCAACACAACAATTAGGTGAAGTGACTGCTACTCTTCATCTTGCAATTGAGGATATTGTGTGTGACACCGAGAGGTTAAAGTATTTTGCTAAAGTCTCACAGCATGGAAGTGACCACACTAGAATTTGATGCCGAGGCAGAGCTCATGTTCTTGACCACTGCAATAAACGTTGAGTCCCTTGGCTAAATGCTTTTCTAACGAGTGCTCTCTCATCTCCGTTGAAAACCTCAGATTACAGAGATTTCACTGTCTTCCATGTTGCCAGTGGTCAGTTGCTGTTTTGATGAGCGGAGTGGACTAAATCTGTCTTGTCTTCCTAAAGAAATTACTGTTTGTATATCTTTGTTTAGTTTGACTTTGAAGACTCTCTCTGAAAATGATCACCTTCTTGACTAACGGAGACTTTAGTTAAACCGAAGGGTCTTGAGGTTTGGAACTGTGTTCCCACCATCTGACAGAGGGAAGTGTGACATAATCGTGTTGAGTTGAAGAGGAAGCCCGAGAGAATGTCTACAAGTGTTTTCTGCCTCATGAGGAGACAGAGAGTGCATGCAAAGGCACTCCCCAAGGCACAAACAGGAAGTTATCAGTAACAAAAAGGGAAAGGTGTCGGAGTCCTGTGGGTCACCAGAGGCTGGGTTAGAGAGAGTGTGGATGGAGGTGCACACATTACTTGCTCACAATCCCTCAGGACTCAAGAGAAAGTTGTCCACAGGAGAAAGACTCAACGCTGCTCTCCGCATGCCGCTCTCTAAAGTAAAGAGGTGATATTTGCTTGCCTGCACTCTTTACTTACATGGTTCTCCAGCCATGATCTCTTTGATCTCTTCAGTCAGCTAGGTCGTTTTTAAAACAATAGTTTGGCCTGCTGTGGTATAAAGAATAATTTTAGAGTGAGGATCCGGAAGTACCCAGAAGAACCCTTCTGAAATTTGAATTTTTAAGAAGGACAAAATAGGCTTACTAATGCCTGAAATTAGAAAGAAAATAGTATGAGGGACCAAGTGGTGGTTAGCGGACGATTTTGCCATCATTACAGTAACAGGCAAATATATACCAAAATGATTTTATGTTCTTCTGTTCCCAGCCAACTATGCTCTAATGGACGTCCTCTTGGCATAGTGGTTGCCCATTGGCTGCAATCTGCAAGATCGAGCCCCTCCCTACCCCCCATCCCCCCACCCCCCAGACAACGACAGGACTTTTCACTCCGGGAGGGAGTAGGACAGTAACTTCACTGTCGCCCTCCTCTATCAAATCTTACTGCTTCCAGTTCTAAACCAATTTCTTCTGGCTCTGGACTTCTTCGCTTATACTAATGTTATTATGGTTGCCTTTGAAATGAGAACTCTGACAGCAATGTCCTCCACTTGTCTTCATTGTGTCATACTATAGTGGCTCTTCATTGTGTCATACTGTAGTGGCTTGCCTGGGTCTATGATGCTGAAAACGATATGACTAGCATTTCAAATACTGGCAGGGTCATCCATGGTGGACAGGTGTTGGTGGAACTTCCAGACCGAGGCAAACTAGGAAGAAAGGCCTGGTGATCTACTTCTGAAAATCAACCAATGAAAATCCTATTGATCACAATAGACTCTTGTCCAATATAGAGCTGGAAGTGACTCTCCTAGGTTAGAAGGCATCAAAATAAACCATGACCACAGCAATGTACTCAAGCATACCAATAATCCTAGAGATGGCATCAAACTGGCAATGTTCGGTTCTGTTTTACTTAGGGTCTACTTGAAGCCAACGCATAGTAACTAACAACGATAGCTATGGAAAGGCCACGTTAAGCAGAAGAGCCAGGAGTTTGGGAAGCCATGAAAGAGACGTCCTGATTTCACTGATTTTCCACCCAGGCCTTTCTGTGGCATAACTCTATGGGGGTATTCACTGGTCACGTCACATCATTTTGTATGGGGATGCCCCCTACACTGTGCAGCTGCCTCCTCCACACCGTAGGATTTCCTTCTCCCAGACCTGCCATCGGTCTCTGTAAATGCACCTGTGACACTTGTCCCACAGTTTGTCACATTGACAGGCTTTCCTTCCTGTAATAGATTGTGAGCTGCTTAAAGGCAGAGAATACAAATTTCACCCATAAATCCTAAGATTCAGAGGTTAACTCTTCTAATGTGTTACTGTATAGTATGTGGAGTAAAAAAAGTTTATATTATTATGAATGTTTTAAAGGTAACTTTATACATCTTTAGAAATTACTGCTCAGTAAGTAATACATGCTTCTACTTTCTGTATCTGAGCACTTAGCTAATAAGAATTTTTTAAAAGTTCACCATGTTGGGATACAATATCTTGTTATTTTATTTAGAATGTACATTATTCTAATGCTCTTGATTTATTACCATTTTGTGTGTTGATTTTTAGATTTTCAATTTATTTTTTGGTTAGCTGATTTTCACGATGTGACCCTGCATCCAGATACCCATCATATATATTCTACCACTGTTTTCATTTTAGTAGTGGGAGCTTGGTGGTGCAGTGGCTAAGCACTCAACTGCTACACTGAACGGTCAGTTGTTCAAATCCACTAGGTACTCAATGGGAGAGAGATGAGACAATTTACTCCCCCAAAGATGTTCAGTTTAGAAACCACATAAACAGTTTGTTCAGTCCTGTTCAGTTCACTGTGAGTTGAAATTGACTTCACAGCAATTTGGCTTGTGTAATTTTCTTTCAGTGTAATTGCTTTCACTTTTCTTTATTTTCATAAGTTGCTTATGTTTCACCAATAGTGTCTCTTTTTTCATAAAAGAAAATTATTGTACATCAAGCTAACAATGTGTGAGAACGAGAGAACAGAGAAGGGCCTTTCGCCATTCTGCATTCCCGGCATTCAGCACTGGGACTAGAGAACAGCAGATACGGCAAAAATATTTCTCGAATGAATAAATAAATGAAAAAAATCCATTGTAGTCAGAACCGATGACATGATCTTGAGCTGCATATCCTTGAGTTAATAATCGCAGGCATTTATTTGAGTGATCGACCACAGGTTCCTTCTTCTCATGGCACCTTTGTTTGCTTGTCTAAAAAGCAAAGGCTGTCAGTGTTGTATCACTGAATCCCTACAGAGTTCAATGGTTCCCGGTCAATTCGCAATCTCTAGTGTCTGCACTTCCCTGCCCCAAGCTCCCTGCAGGACACCACCCTGCTGTGTTCAGCATGCTGGAAGTGCTGGAATATTAATAGCAACGATTATTCGGAGCTAGTGTACAAATAACCAGCTCCTTGGCATAGTGGTTACGAGTTGGGCTGTGATCCCCAAGGTCAGCAGTTTGAAACCATCAGCCCACTCCACATGAGAAAGATGAGACTTTCTACATAAAAGATACAGCCTTGGGAATTCACAGGGGCAGTCCTACCCAGTCTTAAGGGTCACCGAGAGTTGACATCCCCTCATGGCAATGAGTTTTGCTTAGTTTAAACCTCAGGTGGGATAATTCTAAAGTATGTGTTGTGCATTAGTCTACGAGTCCATGTTGAATTGAGCTCTAGTAGTTGGCTTAATTAAAAACAAAACAAAAGACCAGGCAGTTGCCATCAAGTCAGCTTTGATGCCTGGTGACCCCATGTTTATCAGAATAGCACTGTGCCCCATAGGGTTTCAATGGCTGATTTTTCAGATATGGACGATTCTTCTAAATCACCTCTGGGTGGACTAGAATGTCCAACCTTTCAGTTAGCAGCTGAAGTCAATAATCATTTGTACCACCTAACCCCATGACCATTGAGTTCATTCCAACTCATAGTGACCCTATAGAGATTCTCCCTGGGGTTGCTGAGACTCTAAATCTTTTTGAGAACAGATGGCATCATTTTTTTCCTGTGGAGCAGCCGCTAGTTTAAACCACCATCACTTCACCTACGACATCACTGGGCTCTTTTGCACCACATCATCAACTCAGAATACTGCACCCTTTAGTGGCTGCTATTTTTTCTCTGGGTGACCTCTCCTCTCCCCTGCTGATGTGCCTTGATCCTCCAAAAGAAACCATTTGCTTCTTAAAGCCTTGTCTCAGGGTCATCTTTGGGGGGATCCAGAATTTACTTTAAATATTTAATAATTCCTATGTTGAAGGAGCATGTTAAATTTTGACATTTTGGAGAATATTTGGGGGGGAAATCTTTTAGAAATGGTGTTGTATCTGTGGCCAAAGTACAACCAGAAAAAATTCTCTTTTTCTTGATTACAATCGTTTACAAACCCCTCATATTTTTATTTCACTTTGCTCAATCAAAGAGCCTTGGTGGTGTAATGGTAACACATTGGGCTGTTAGCCACACGGTCAGCAGTTCGAAATCACCAGCCAGTTCTGTGGGAGGCTTTCTGCTCCTATATAGATTTACAGTTGCAGAAGCCCACAGGAGCAACTCTACCCTGTCCCAGGGGGTTGCTAGGAGCCAGAATTGACTCAATGACAGTGAGTGTGTTTTGTTTCTGATCATTCAGAGATCTTAGCTCAGGAGACTTGGTTACCAGAAATACCACATGATACTGTTAAGCAGTCTGAAACCTTAATAGCTCTATAACGTGACTTACCTCGGGAGGGGTTATGATCTATTTCTGTTGTTTTAAGGAAAATTCATTCGACATTTGATGTTGTCCGTGGGAAGGTCTTTTATCGTAAGACAAACCAGAGCTGTTTTCACGGAACCCTTTTCTTTCCTCTCCCCCTGCATGGCCTTCTCTCTTCCCTACAACCTTCTAGGTGTGGTTTCAGAACCGAAGAGCGAAATTCCGCAGGAACGAGAGAGCCATGCTGGCCAATAAAAATGCTTCCCTCCTAAAATCCTACTCAGGGGACGTGACTGCTGTGGAGCAGCCCATCGTACCTCGTCCTGCTCCGAGACCCACGGATTATCTCTCCTGGGGGACAGCCTCTCCGTACAGGTGAATGACTGGCCCACTCTCCCTTGCACTACGTCCGTATGTTCCTCAGCCTGGGTTGTGCTCCAGGCTGCCTGTGCAGTCGGCTGACATTTCTTACTGGGTTAACCTCTCCAGAGACATTCAACTTGCTGACATCCCCAGATTTTCGCAGGAGATTACTAGTTGCCCCAGGAGCAGGGTTTGGGGCAGAAGAGAGAGGGGCAGGCCACCAACAGTCTCCTCTTGGACTCGGGAACTCTTGCAAAGGTTTCAAAGATGAGAAATAATCTAAAAGAAAATATCATTAAGCTGCACCCATATCCCGCTTGCATCTATTGTGGAACAAAATGTGGTCCTATAGCTAAATGTAAGATAGAATGGTTTCCATGATGCTTAAGTGGAGGCTTACCATGTGAGGCCTTAAGTATGAGACTCAAGGGCAGTCTTCAGTGCAAAATTGATTTCTGATAATTGAGGAGGGAATGATCAAAGGAGAGGGAGAGGAGAAGGAAATAAAAATAAGGAAAAGGTAAAAGAAAGAGCAATAGTAAAAGCCAAAGGAAGAAACCAAGTTACTTCAGGTCCCTTTCAGGGCGTTATTTGTTAGAAGGTGGGGACATCTTATGCTTCAAAATGCCTTCCTGTTTCACCGATGCTTCTTATCTACTTAAGTTTTCTTCGGAGGTCAATTTGTATGTATGGGTTTGTTTTTTAACATAAAAAGACTGTAAAGCTTACACAAAACTCCTACATTACAAAGGAAAAAATATATTTCAAAGGAAAAAATAACAATAGAATTTCAGTCTCACAAGGGCTTTCTCTCTCATATCTTATGATGTTCAGACAATACGGGGAGGAAGATAGAGGGCAGCCGACCACAAGTGCCCAACACATTAGCCTAGGGTACCTTTCGATGAAGCAGGATCCCCGTTCTCTTAGAAAGAAGATCAAGGCTGAAGATCCTCTCTGGCTGATTTTGGAGAAGGAATAAGTATTTAAAATTTTATTTAGTGTGCTTTGACCTACCTTTTCAACATTAAGGTTAATTAGCGGTTTAAGGAGTGATGTAGACTAATTATAGATTCTCTCCCAGCTGCAGCTGAGCTCATGCTTTGAAAGAACACAATTGCAAAACCAAAGTGGTGACCTGAACCTGCTTTCAGTTCCAACCAGGCCTTTGAAAGAAACACTGTAAATGCATTTGGAAACTTATTTTGCATCCTCACATGTGAAACTAGCCAGTATTATCTTGGTTTTAGTATATAGTATTTCCAAAAGTAGAAAAATGTTATTCTGAGCCCTCGTTGCTCTCAGCCATGGTATACCTTGTTGATTTTTAGAGATGAGACACACTGGTGCGTATGACTTCAAACTTGCTTTCCTTTCTCATAGATGTTTGCTCTGAACACATTTTGAACTGCATTCTGAAATCCCATGTCCCTTCATATTGTGAGGGTGCTTTGTTTCACTTATAAATCTTAGTAGTCGATCTTGGACTCGATGGCTTGGGAGATGGGTGTGGCTCCAGATCGCATGTTTTAAGATCTCTGGTTTGAATTCGGTTGTAACCAGGAAGTATTGCTCCTCTTCCTGCCTCGGTCTTAATTAGAAACTTCAGCAGAAGCAATAAACACTCCAGATACCAATCATTTGGTCCTTTCTGGTGCGAGGTCAAGGGCAGAATGCTGCATGTTTGAAAATATGAAATCTTCCTAAATGATGATTATATTAGATTACAGGATTCAGCAGAAGTTCAAGCCCCAGTGCATGCATCCTACGTATGTACTCTGTGTATAAGCATCTAACTGGAACTAACATGACCATGTGTCCTTTGGGGAGATACTCTATTTTAACTGATAATATAGAAATACTAGATCATTTTTGAAATCACCCATAATTCTACCATCCTGACATAATTAGTTTGTTCATTTTTTTCCCAGTAGAGTTCAGTATTTTCATAGGTGTAGTCTTAGTGTACATAGTAATGTGTATTCTGATCATTTTGCTTCAATTCATGTAAACTTAGTACTTCTTACTTATTTCAAGATGTACGTATTTAGCTTGTCTCATAGGTACAGTTTGTAAAAAGTAGTGAAAGCAATATTATAGAATCGGATTGTTCCTATTGTGTATGAAGAATAAATTAATCTCCAGTTGCAAATAGAGAAGTGGTGGTGTAAAGCAGTAATTTAATCTCATAATAACGTGTTTGACCCAATTTTCACTGAAGTCTTTGTATTTTGGGTAATTACTAAACATAGTTTCTTTGGGATTTTTCTATGATGTCCAACAGCAAAGTACATGATCATTTCATCCATATACGAGAGCTTGGTAGGCAATATGCCTATTAAGGAAACATGAAAAAAAACAAGTGGCAAGGAACAAAGTAAATGTTAGACCGCTTGTGTTACAGAACAGTACCTTGCTATTCCTGTTGGTACTTTAATGTCAAGTTAGTTATCTCACATATGACATTCAGGGCAAGGGTTTTCTCTTGGTTATTCCTGGGACTTACTGCTCTATGGTAGCACTGTTCTTACTCCAATTCCAAAGAAGAGGAAGCACTTGACTAAGTGCTTAAGTCTTCAGACAGCAGAATTCGGATCAATGCCTAGGACACCTGTTGCTGCCCAGCGTATTAGGTCCCAGGTCCACACACCATTGCATTACATTGGAAGTAGTAAACCCCATGTATAAAGTTGGAAAACTCTCTGAACTTCCCTTTTTGATTCAGGGTCTGTTCTCAGATCAGAGAAGCATGCTGTCAGCCAGGGTCCACATTCTGGGGGTTGTGGGCAGCACATTGGGGCAACTGATGTGGCTGGGTCTTGTGACACAGGGACACTGAGCAGGCTGCCCTGCCAGACAGGATAATTTCCTGCCACCAAAGCTCTCCCCCAGAAGAAGGAAGAAGAAAACCAAGGCCCCAAAGCAACTGTTTGCATATTGTCAGAATCCAAGGCTGGGGAGTGGCCTAAACTACC